AAGAATTATATGCTGCATTCAAAGAGAAGTATCCAGATATAAAAGTAGGATTTTCAAAGTTTAGTAGTTTGAGGCCAAAGTGGTGTGTTTTGGTTGGTTGTTCAGGAACTCATTCTGTTTGTGTGTGCACAATTCACCAAAATGTTGTTCTGATGCTGAGCGCTGTGAATTTTGACAAGGATCACCATGAGCTCATGAACATGATAGTATGCTGCATAGATTCTAAGCAATGTATGATTCACCGTTGTCCCAACTTCCCGCCTGACACTCAAGATTTGGAGAACTACCTTTTAGAGCAGCTTCAACCTGAAATTGATGATGAGAATGACCCATGCACCATACAGTTTCAACAGTGGACAAATGTCGATCGCTCGGAGCTGGTCCAGCAGATCATGCCAGGTCAGGATTTTATCTCCCTCCTTGTTGAGAAACTTAACACCCTCACAGCCCATTCCTACATTGCTAAAGCACAGGCAAAATATCTTAAAAAATGTAAGGAAGAACTAAAAAAACGAGGTAATTGTTTTGGGAGATTTTGCTGAGAATTACCAATTCGTAATTCAAGATGAAATCCAAGGATTTCATTGGAACAAGCAGTCGTGCACCCTCCATCCAATTGTGTTGTATTACATGAAAGACAATAAACTTATGGAGAAATCTCTTTGTTTCATCTCAGATGACTTGAATCATGATACATGCTTTGTTTATGAAGTCATGAAACAAACTGTTCATTATATTAAGGATGAGATTTTCACAACATTGAGTATGGTGCATTATTTCAGCGATGGCTGTGCAGGACAATATAAGAACTATAAGAACTTTATCAACTTGTGCCTTCACGAAAAGGACTTGAATGTGAAATGTGAATGGTCATTCTTTGCTACAAGCCATGGCAAATCTCCGTGCGATGGCCTTGGAGGTACGTTGAAACGATTGACAGCAAGAGCTAGTCTACAAAGAACTCACGCATATCTACAAGGTATAGCACTGCAACTACTCTTCCTGGCACAAGAGGCTTTCATCACTTTACCCCCCTCTCTGAAAGTGTTATGGCTGCTAAACGTGTTTCGGAAGATGAATTGTATGCCTTAGAGTTTAATCTAGTGTTGGGAAAGACAAACTTAGTGAAGCTGGCAGATCCAAACATGTCTGACTTTATTGTTTGCTTATATGATGAGAAAATTTGGGTTGGACTTGTTGATGTAGTAGATAAGGAACATGATGATGTTCAAGTCAAGTTTATGCATCCAAGCTACCCAGCAAGATCCTTCTTCTGGCCAAGGAAAGATGATGTATGTTTTGTACCAATTATGAGGCACCAGTAACAGTAACGGGAAGACAATACAAGCTGAGTGACAAAGACATATCCACAATTGAGCAAGCACTTGCTGAATAACTCAGATAGCATGTAACATAACTTGAAAAGTACAGTACAGTACTGAACACTATATTAACATTATTGAACATCAAATAACAATTTCTAAAGGTGATGATTGCAAATGCTGGATATGACAGTTCCATAAAATTAAGAAATTACATAGGAGTTCAACCATATATTTGTTGGCATATTTTTCAGCAAGAAGAGACACCAAGCCAAAACTTGGTGAAATTAATCCTCATTATATATTCATATACCACACCAAAAATGGGTTTGGTCCTACATTGCCAACATGGGTAATTTTCGGTTTGTAATTTGATCCTTTTTATGGTTTCGGGATATATATATATATACCATTGTTTAACATAGAAAATATGCATTTCTTTTCAAGTAATGATATTTTTGACCTCATATTCTGATTCAGCATGTCTTAAAATGGTATATCACCAGTTTTCCTGTATATAGAGTTAAAGGATAGAAAACGACAGTTGAAATACCATACATTTTTGTGTACCATTCATAAAGAATGCTATAACCGACACCGATAATGGTGGAAAATTGAAAAACCGATATCTCAGGAACAAATAAAGATATTGAGCTCAAATTTGGTGTGCTTTCATATCTCACTTATACTTCCAATTGGTGCAATTTTGGTTAAAATCTGGGATGGGTGGGTGACATTTTGAATTTCTATTTGTTGATTTCACATGGAATGACCCACCTGTACTACCACTGGATTCTTCAATGTATATGCTCTAAAATAATAGTCATTAAAACGACAATTTCAAAAAACATAAAAAACTAAGCATTTGTAACATTGGAGAAAGATACAGGATGAACATGAAACCTTCTCAGAAGACGATGGAACGAGACCATAAATATTTGATGTGAACTTCCTGCTAACAACGTTCGCGTAAACCGTTAGCATACCATGAAAACTAACTTCTGGTTTGGGCGACGCTTTACTAGCAACCTCCTCAACGTCTTCAGGACAATTAACGTCAACTGAACTGGTGTCACAAGGCTCAAATGACGATGATCAACTACTAGCCATAGCTAACATGTTACCACCTGAGATCTTTCTTGGGTAGATCAAGGTTTTAGGAACTTTTGAAAACTTGCTCAGCGCATTTACAAGCACCAATTTCAGAGCTCGCTCTGTCACAAATTAATTGAGAATCTGAGCATGTGTTGTCAACACCACAAACTCTCCAAGCTCATGGTAACGACCAACTGGATGTACTAGTACCGATTTTGGAGTAATCAGCTCGCTCAGCCACAAGTTTTAACGAAAATCGCTGATGGGCGGAAGCTTGCTATTGGCATCTCCCAAGTAGGATAGCGTGGAGGGGCCGAAATCTCCTACCGAAACGTTAACATGCGGCGTTCTAGTGCCTTGAGCTTAAGAAGGTATCGGGAAGCATGGACCGAAAACGGGGTTTTTTTGCTTTCGAATTTTGTCTTTTTGTTTTCCTCTCATAAAAAAACCAAGCAATGTTTCAATTAACTTCTTATGACCCTGTCTTTATGTGACAATTATAATTAAAGACAACCTTAAAATGTTTTATACCATTTTATCGCTTTATATCTTTCTGATTTAACTCTCCCATTTACTGTTTCTCATGTATCACGAGCAAACCATCCATATGCTTCATGGCAAACAAACAAGGATTATGTGGTTCTCTTAGTTAACATGCGACGCTCTAGTGCTCAACTATCACGGGTATCGGGAGGCACGGACCGAAAACGGGATTTTTTGTTTTTAAAATTTGTCTCTTTTCTTTACAAGAATTCTTCTCATTAAAGAAACTAGAACGTCCAAAGATACTTTAAAGGTTCAAACAATTTCTGCCTTTTGAATTATAATTTAAACAAACTCTAAGCATGTTTATACGTTTTACTTTTACCTTTACAATGTAACTTTCTCATAGCTCTCGTGATGAACGCGAGCCTCCTTATACAATATGACTCTTTCATCATGAACGAAAGCATCCATGGGCTTCAAAGGGATTATGTGCTTTGTTATAATAGTTTCTACAAAGAAACTATTATAACAAAGCACATAATCCTTGTCAGCATGTGTTGGCTTGCGATAAACTGTTGTTCGTAGTTTTGATTGTCATGTTTTACCAAACAGTCGAGAAAAGGAAGAGTTCCGTTTTCTTCAACATCTTTGGTAAATTGTATTTGGCTGTTGTGTTTGTTGATGTGAGTGAGAAAGTCATCAATCTCGTCTGCATGCAGTGCTGTGATTGTGTCATCTACGTAGCGAAACCAAAAAGGTAGTGCATGTTTGTAAGTCGTGAGCGCCCGTTCCTCTATAGATTGCATTACAATTTCAGCAACTACAACAGAAACGGGTGAGCCCATTGCTGTTCCATGTAATTGTTTGTAGTGTGTACCTTTGTACTGGAAGTAAGTGGAGGTGAGGCAGAGCTCCAGTAGCTCCATAATGTCTTCTGTCGGTAATGGCAGTACGTCCGTGGTGTTTGTAATGAGGAATTTTGTACAAGTAAGTGCCAGATTAAGTGGAATACTGGTGAACAGTGATTTCACATCAAAAGACACTAGTATATAGTTGTCCGGTATTTGTACAGTGCTCAGTTTTTTAATGAAAGTTTCAGTGGATTGCAGCTTGTGTTTGGATTTGTTTGTAAGTGGTTGCAGTATGTCAGTCAAGTACTTTGAGAGTTCGTAAGTGGGCGAACCACAGAATGATACAATTGGTCGCATGGGTATTTGTGGTTTGTGAAGTTTTGGTAGTCCGTATAGTCTGGGTGGTCGTGGTACTGAACATCTAAGTCGATAGTAAATACGTTCAGATATAATGTTAGATTTTCTCATCGAGAAGATCTTGCTGTTTAGTTTGCGTACTAGTGATGGTGTTGGGCCTCGTTTTGTTGAAGTAATCATTCCTGTTCATGACCACAGTCACGCGTCCTTTGTCTGCTGGTAAAATGACGATGTTGTTGTCGTGTTTTAGTCGTTTGAGTGCTTGTTGTTCTTCCTTTGTCAAGTTGTTGTGACGTATAGAGGACGATTTTAAAGTGGAGGCTATCCTGCTTCTGATCTCGTCTTTGGTTGTCTCTGACAAGTCTCTTTGATACGCTATTTCACATTTCCTGTACACACAATACAATGACGTAAGACCAGATAACAAATACGGCTAACCTGACGTTTACTCCTCATTTGACTCTGAAGATGACTACCGCTAAGGTTGTCGAAACGTCGTCAGTCAAAACAACAACAAAAACAGTCCTTCTCAGGACTATACCAACCTGGACGATTTACATTTACAAACATTAAGTTCTAAATCTATAAATTTAAAACGATATATCATAACCTTCTAAAGGTTGATGACACTACGTAATATTGAGTTGTTGCTTTTCACCCAATACTAAATTTCAAATCCAAAATATACTGAATAAAACAAGCAATTTACAAATTTCTCCATTTTGGAAGACAAAACTGAAAAGCAGAGAAAGCATTGATTTGAAAATACAAATGAAGTAAATTTTCCTCAAGCTTACCATTGCCATTGTCAATTTGCTCATTAAGTCTTTTCATCTGATTTTTCAGCATTTTTACCCTCTCTTTGAGTTCCAAGGCTTCTTTTTTATACTTGCATTTATCATTGCAAAGTGCACTACCTTCATCTGACTGACTCTCCTAAATAATCAACAAGAACTTAGGCAATATTTAACAATATTTTCCTTTTAGTACAAACTATTAAAGTGTATTTTACTAACAACAAGTACAATATATTATAATGTAAATCTCAATTTTTTAATTTCATAAGCCACACTGATTGAAAATTCTTTTGTATGATTGCCCTATACAAGCCTTACACTGTACAATGTTTGTATTTTAAAAGATTTTTCCCTTACAAACAAGAAATGAATTTCAAATTAACAGCATTTTATGACTAATGGGAACATATCATAAAGTAATAATAACTTTTTTAGCATTTAACCAAACAACATCCAAATTTTATTCTGAAAAATGACCTTAATTCCCTAGCATTTCCCATTAATAATAAAATTGCATAATTTAGAGATAAGAATAATTAGTGTTATCATTGTGTATAGTACATACCTTGGTTAATCACTCTTTTATAAGTGAAGCAAGACTGGCTGAGCAGCAAGCCTGTGTTTTCTTTTCCCCGGATGCCTTTAGCTTTTTAGGAATACTGTGCTCCTGCTGGTAACAAGAACAACAATACAAAATTTTATACATGTTGTTTGAAAAGTTTGTTATTAGCTACTACTTCTCATTTAAATTCTTAGGCTCATAGCCTTGTTCAGCAATGCAGACCTTCGAACATAGAATTAGTAGCTAATAACATTTGAATCATGAATACCATATGGAGTACTTAACAAATTTCCATGAATGCATCATCACATTAGTGACATGAGTGCTAACTATAGATGATGGCGGCAATAATTGAGAAACATGCAGTAAACACCATATAAACAAAATGTGGTCAATGTAATATTTCGGGCAACTCACCACATCATCTGATTCACTATCATTTTTAATTGTAAACTTTGCTTTGTGAATTCTTTTGCGACACCCTTTGCCAGTATTTATAGAGAAAGTTTCTTCTTTTCTCATTGTCTTGAGTAAATAATCTTTACTATCTGTTTATACAAAATAATGGATGACTATTTAACAACTATTAAAAAATAATAATTTTCAATTGGAAGCAGTAGCATGCCTGAAATTATAAGGAAACAACCTTATGCAAAGTTTGGCCTAATGTATTACTACATGTATTTAAGAGCAAGCAAGTTAAAATCAGGGAAATAGACACATCCTTATTGTCAGTATTGTAACTCAACTATTGCTATGTAGAAGAAAGAACAACATTTGAGCAAAGGCTTTTTATCAGAAAGTATTTCCCTCCTAAAAAAGCAGTAAGTTGAATTGATAACAGCAACCTTCATATCAACTATGACTATTTCTACAAACAAGACAGAGAAATAAACAAATAGATTTTCACACAGAAATTTACAGATATATAACAAAGCTAAGTTGTTTCATGAAAGAAATGATAACAAAGAGAAAGAGCTTGATTCACTAGCAATTAGTTTTTTGGCTGAATTATACAAGCTTTTAGAAATTTTACAAAAAATTCTACAACAGACTAAAAATACTAACCTGAAACCTCTATTATCTCTGCAGGAAATTTCCTCGACTTGCCGTTTCCCTTTGTTTTTCCATATCCCCACATGACTTACGTTTTGAATCCTTTAAGTTCATCTTTGTCTTTCGACATATTTTCATCCTCAAAAATGATGTTAGAATATGGAATGATATCCCATGTATTTTCGTTGTAAAAATTCACCAATGCAAACGCCATATTTTCGAATATTATCGCTGAAAAAGTTTTTTCAACTCTTAACGTATCTTTGCAACAAGCAACATGTTAATCAGATTGAAGATCATGGAATCGGGTAAAGATTAAGGATTACAAAATAACAGTCCCAGTCTCCCAACGCTCTCGTCTAAATCTAAACAGAATAGTTTGAAACAATATTGCAACAAAGCAAAGGAAAGTTTTTATAAGTTGAGGTAAGCCTGGTGTTTTCCGCGTTTCAAAAACCCATGTTAAGCGTTCATGAAAATACCCTGAGGTAAACATTAAAAATGGCTTATGAAAATCTGGTCGAATTATCAATTATCCGAGAAATACGAAGAAGTTATGGTTCTCAGTGGAGTGGGGGATGCTCTAGGTTATAAGAATGGTTTGTGGGAATTCTGTTACAGTGGTACTCAAATTCATGAAGAACTAAAAAAACTCGGAGGACTTGATAAAATTGACATTAAAAGATGGAGGGTTAGTGACGACACTGTACTACACATTGCTACAGCAGAAGCGTTGGTTTCTGTATGGGCAACAACGGAAGAGTTATTGAGCATTATGGCTACAAAGTACAAGAAGACATGTGCTGAGGATATGTGGGAAAGAGCTCCTGGTCAGACCACAACAAAAGCATGTTTTATGTTACGACCTCTTGAGGAAAAAGGTTACATTATACCATTTAATGAACGAGGTGGAGGATGTGGTGCAGCTATGAGATCCATGTGTATAGGTTTGATGTTTCCTTGTGAAGATCAAATTGAAATGTTAATTGAAATTGCTGTTGAAAGTGGAAGGATGACTCATAATCACCCCACAGATATTCACCTTTCATAATAAAGCAACGATTTCAGATCATGTATCAATTATCAAGTCACTAATGTCTAGTGTTCTTTCTATTGACAAGTGTCGCTTTGTATAAAGTTTGCTAGGTTTTCCTGTTATCTGCATTTCTTTTCATTTTGAAAAACCTTATAGTAATTTTTCTTTTTAATCCTTTTGCTTTTCCTAGATGTTTTACCTTCAACTCTTCCTTCGATTACTTACTTGATCAAGCCATTACCATGAATGTTTCATATCCTTTTATCTAATATCAATTTATAAATGAAATAAAAGAAGGTTGACCTTAGGTTTGCATAAGTCTATGCAATCCATCATTTTCTAGAACCACATCTCAAATGCCTCCATCCTTCTAACATTGCTCACTTTTAATGACCATATCTTTCATCCATCCTTTTTATCGCTTTTCCACATTTCCAAATTTCTGTGTTCTAAAAACTGTATGAATGGCCATTGCTGTTTTGCTTTAATATCGCCACTACTACAGCCATTGAATCCATGATTCATATCAAAATGCTGCTATTATGTAAATAGGGTCATCATAATGTAAGTGACCTGAAATTAGCAATCTTTAAAGATAATGATTTTAATTATAGGTTATCTTGGGGCTGTTACTGCAGCTTTATTTACAGCCTATGCTATACAGAAGATACCCAAAAAATGGGGAGCAGGACTTTTAGATGTTTTACCCAAAGTTTGGGAATACATTGAAAAGGTTGGTCGTGATGTAGAAGACAACAAAGCTTGGGGCTACTTTAAAACAGTTGGGAGTCATATCTTGAACTACGGGATTAACAAATGGAACCAGTGAACCAAAGTTTCCAGTGACATATAACATACCTGAACGTGATGCTTTTTATAAATCTGTCAGTTATGCAGGTTGGGGTGGGTCCAGTGGTCATGATGCACCAATGATTGCTTACGATGCTTTGATGATTGTAAAAGATTCCTGGTTTCAATTGTGTTCTTATTCTATGTTTCATGGTTGAGATAGTGACAGTACAGGAATATTGGCTGCAGCATGGTGAGGCGGTATATATGTCGTATGAAAGGGGTACCCTTTGGATATTATACGAACCTGGAATATCGTCTTAGGCTTATAGAGCTTGGCAAAAAATTACTAAATGCATCAAAGAATATGAAAAACTAACAGGACAGTATTTATTTAACAAAATTTATGTCATAAAATTCTGTCATCCCAATACACTTTAGTACGTTTGTGAATCACACAATAAAAATTACTACTAGGTAATAACATAGAAACAATTTACTTTAGAAACAAAGTCTGAAGGAAAATGTCAGATTCAGGGCATATGCAGTTCTAAGTTCAACTTACGATGATTCCTGGGCTGTAGAGTAAGTTTATTGACTAGATATCAGTGAAACTATATATAGACAAGGATCATTACATCTTTAGGTTCATTTTACCTCACAAAATGCAAACTGCAAACGTTTTGTTCAAAGATTGAGCGACATCAACATGATTTGGACCTAACGATTGTTTTTGAATTTTCATAGCTTTTTCCTGAAACTCTATAGCTTTGTCGTTATTTCCAGTTTGGGAATACACCAAACTGAGATTGTTTAAAGACGTAGCGACATCAACATGATTTGGACCTAACGATTGTTTTCGAATTTCCAGAGCTTTTTCGTAAACCTTTATAGCTTTGTCGTAGTTTCCAGTTTTACAAAACACCGTACCAAGATTGTTTAAAGACCTAGCGACAACAACATGATTTGGACCTAACGATTGTTTTTAATTTCCAGAGCTTTTTCGTAAAACTCTATAGCTTTGTCGTAATTTCCAGTTTCATCATACACCATACCAAGATTGTTTAAGGACCCAGCAACATCAACATGATTTGGACCTAACGATTGTTTTTGAATTTCCAGAGCTTTTTCGTGAAACTCTATAGCTTTGTCGTAGTTTCCAGTTTTATAATACACAATACCAACATTGTTTAAAGACGCAGCGACATCAACATGATTTGGACCTAACGATTGTTTTCGAATTTCCAGAGCTTTTTCGTAAACCTTTATAGCTTTGTCGTAGTTTCCAGTTTTACAAAACACCGTACCAAGATTGTTTAAAGACCTAGCGACAACAACATGATTTGGACCTAACGATTGTTCTTTAATTTCCAGAGCTTTTTCGTGAAACTCTATAGCTTTGTCGTAATTTCCAGTTTCATCATACACCATACCAAGATTGTTTAAGGACCCAGCAACATCAACATGATTTGGACCTAACGATTGTTTTTTAATTTCCAGAGCTTTTTCGTGAAACTCTATAGCTTTGTCGTAGTTTCCAGTTTTATAATACACAATACCAACATTGTTTAAAGACGCAGCGACATCAACATGATTTGGACCTAACGATTGTTTTGAATTTCCAGAGCTTTTCGTAAAACTCTAGCTTTGTCGTAGTTTCCAGTTTCATCATACACCATACCAAGATTGTTTAAAGACGCAGCGACATCAACATGATTTGGACCTAACGATTGTTTTCGAATTTTCATTTTCGTGAAGCTCTAGAGCTTTGTCGTAGTTTCCAGATTTTTGAAACACCGTACCAAGATTGTTTAAAGACGTAGCGACATCAACATGATTTGGACCTAACGATTGTTTTCGAATTTCCAGAGCCTTTTCATGATGATTTTTAGCTTTGCTATACTTTCCGGTGTTATGGTTTAAAAGACCAAGAATACTAAAATACCAAGCTTTGTCATAACTAAATTTATCTGATTTAAATTTATCCAATAGTTCAAGAGCAAGATCGTATTTTCCAAAATGTCTTAATCTCTCAACAAAATAACGGAAGACTTGTAAAGTGTTTATGTTGAGTTTTGTCTTGTTGGCCTTTAGTAATTGAATAATTTTTTCAAGATGCGGCATTAATTTGATTTCGTCGTCTCTCTCTTTAAACATATAAAGTGCTTGAGCTATTTGATCAACGTTAGTTTCCATTTCATGTTCTTCATTTGAGTGTTCAGATTGATAAACAATAATTGCTTTGTGAACAACGCGATGTAGACTAATGTCATTATTTTCTGAATGCAAGAACAATGAGCATTCGTCTAAACAAAGGCATATATCTTCCTCAGCTAGTTTGGGATCATTTTTTTGAACATAATAAACCATAATTTCTCGTGGTAAAGGATCAAATGATATCATAGAAAAAAAGCTAATAACCAGTGCCAATATTGTGGATTCTTCTGCACTTTGTTTGACAGCTAAAAGTGAAGCTTGTAACATACTTCTAGGATATACCGAGTTAAATTTAACAAAATTGGGGTCAATGTTTTTTTCTTCTTCTAAAGACATTGTCTTTAAATATTGTTTCCAAGTAAATGAGCAGTTTGTTTTGTTTACACGACTGACATAATAACCAGTAGCAGCCAAAGCCAGCGGTTGACGATCTAATGCGTGGGATACTTCATTCAACAATTGATCATCAGCATTTTCATCTTTAGTGTAAGAATTTAACAATTGACAACATTCTCTGTCATTCATTCCACTACTGATAGAAATATGTTTGCTGGACAATTCATCGTGAGGTACAGCATCTGTATTCTGAACAGTTATTATTAGTTGTCCATTTTTCCACATGTGATCACCTACTTGTGGTAGTAACGAAGAAATTTCGCTCAGTTGCACAACGTTGTCGACAATAATGAACCAATTTTGCCAGAATTTCAATCGAGCAGATACTAACGATCGAAGGTTCTTGACTTTCTTTGGCGGAAAATTTTCATCTTTAAATTTTTCAACCAAAAACTTGTCACAGTTTAAGCGGTATCCAAGGTCACAGTAAGTTTTTAAAAGAGATTCCACATTCTTCCCATCGAGAGTCATTACAAACGAAGTTTTGTTTTTCCAATCACACGATATTTTTTCACAAACCTGTCTTGCAAGTTGTGATTTACCACTGCCAGGATTACCAGTGATGTAGAAATATGTCAGTTCGTTATTGTTATCATTCCTTAATTTTTCAAGATCGTTTATGATTTTATCTTGTAATTCAGTGCGTTCAACGAAAAAATGATTGGGTTTTGAAGGAAGCACTTGGAACGAATTAAAACTATTACGATGATTTTTATTTCATTGATTTTATCAAAAGAAAATTTCAAATCTTGAAATGATTTTTCAATGATATTGACTATTTTATCAAAATCATCATCTGAGTATTCGCTTTCATACCAATGTGCGTCTTTGTTTCTCTCACCACGAAGTGCATGAACAGCATCCTTTGTGTTTTTACCAAGATGTTTGCCAATCGATTTTGAAAAAAGTATAGCATCGAATAATGTTGTGCAGTCCCATTTACTGGTGTCTCCATCCTGATATTTTAACTGTAGTTTTTTATCCAACTTCCTACCTGATTCTAAAGTGTAAAATTTTTACCGCTATTTTGGTATCATCCCATTCTCCATGTGTTGATTTGTAACGAGAGTTCCATTGTTTGATGAAAAATTGAGCAAGCTCCTTTTGTACCACATTAATTACCATTCTGATGTAAAATAGATTTCTGCTTTGTCTTGATTCCATCTAAAAAAGAATATGATGTGTCAAGAAGACAGTTAAAATCAATCAATTTCAAATGTTCGACCTACAACATATATCACTCTTCTTTAAAGTCGAGGATTTACACGATGAAATCAAACTTATTTATTCGTTTATAAATTCAACTTCATCAAAAACATGCTATTCATACAAATTGAGACATAGACAACTACTAAATGACAGCGATAATGCTACAGCTTTTGCCAATTACAGCAGCTTTTCAACAAAACATTAAAAAAAAGATGTGACTTGTTACAAGATAGACATTGCTAGTGCTAGATCTTTATGTCCTTGGATCTTCAATGTCAAGTATCGTTTGTAATGGCGAAAGTCGTAGTTAGAAATGCTGGAGATACCTCTGTGCTTGACGGTATTTCTATACATCAGTTGATTGTTACGTGACACGTTAATTCACACTTTAACTTACATACCTTAACTGACATGTGTGGCATTCAAAATTAGAATATCTAATTTAACTCGTTTTGTAGGAAATAAAACAGCAAAGAAAAAGCGCCTATCTAAAAAAACACCAATATGCCTAATATGTCAGGTGAATGTTGATCAAAATGGACTTAGTAAAGAAAAAAGCGGTATGGTGTAATAAGTGAGAAGGGAAATAATTCCTTCGGCAAAAAGTGGAAAGACTTGTTTCTAGAAATAATTTACAATATTAAAATAACCTTGTCTTGAATTGACTAATGCTACGAGTTTATTTTACATATCCTTGTTACTGGCACATGTTGGAAAATAAACCATCATAATAATTCTGGTCGCGTGACGTGAAGTAAAATTGATTACTGTTAACCAATGAAAAATTGGGCAGAACTTGTTACGAAAAGTTTCATTTTTTTCAAGGGTAATCTAGTTGACTGTCGTAGCGAATTGTGATACATTATATTCTTTAAACTTACGACACTTTGCGTTATAAATTTCGTGAGACTTTTCGCAGATTCATACCGGGGAGGCAGGTAACTTACGAAACACAAAAGCTTTTTTCCTTCGGAGAATTCGACGTAACTTTGACAGCAAAACATGCAAAGATGCAAAACATTAAAGGAATGTTATTGAATGATGCAGAACTAATACTAAACACCAAAAAATATGAAAAGACTCACGTTGCTCACTGATCATTTAAGGTGAACGGTAAAAAAGGACTACAGCAAAAACAAAAATGAAAACCAGCATTCTTATAAATGAATATGTCACTCATGAAGACACTTTACACGATATGTTCTACAAAGAAATAACAATTTAATCTGTTATTTTCACTATGAAGGAAAAAAGTCAGCACATTGTGCCAAAAAATAATTACGTGGCGTTTATCACAAATGTAAACAGAATAGATTTTATTGCATAATTGATTCTGGTGCAATTTAATATATGAAGTGTGAACGTAACAATTTATCGGACTATGAAGAGTTTAGAA